TAAGTACCTACCGAAGACAGAAAACCAATCTGACAGAAAAATAGAAAGAAGCATATAGTAACCTCAAAAGGAAAATATTTTGAAATTTTGACACAAGATATTATTTGTTTATTTATCCCTGAGGAATACTAGGACTACTATGAACATGAAAGCACATCATCGAACGAAACCTTACCGCAGGAATAATAATAGCGAGCAAACAGGCGGAGTGAACGTTCAAGACTGGTTTATTATTTATTGAATATTTGCTGTGTCGTGTTACAGAGTGATTTCCGAAATGATTCTTGGCGATTGTGATGTCGAATACACTGCATCTCGACAAATTACGTGTAAATAAAGTTGTGGTGAGTTGGTACGTATAAGGGTCACAAAGTGAACCGTTACACATCCCCTCTCCTCACAAAAATATTGAGCGGAGCGACAATATTTCCCAAACTATATCAACCTGTGATCGAGAATTTTTTTTTTTTTTTTTTTAGCTATAGGCCGGTAGACTCACATCTAACGCGACGAGAAGCAAAAATGAACCATTTAGGTGTAGCTCATCCGGTCAGACCGGAGAACCACCAGACCGCTCGTTTTCCATTGCTGGTAAACTCGCGAATCCTTGGGGTGAATACTTTTCCGTAAAACGGTTGGGTATTCCATCGTAATTGTTTGTTTTTTCGCCGTGTCCAGGTATTTGACCTGAGTCGAATTGAAGATGTCTATCAAGACCGACCACATGGTAAATTCCTGCAACGTTAGCCAAGGAAGTAATACACGGGACTCACAAATGGGAGTAGAGACTGATTTTGAACAGAGGAGAATTAATGAGACTCGGAGTAGTGGTGAATTGAGATCATATAGTTGACGAAGACAGGGATATCCACACATTCATATATTCATTCTACATTCGTTGCCACATTCATACACTCATACATACTATCCTGCTTGTCTTAAAATCTATTAATGATCTTCTTCGGATCCGTAGTAAGGCTTCAGATCCTTCACGTGGAATTTTCCTATATTTTTACCATCTCCATCACACACTTCATATACCAATTTAGAAATGACCCTCTTAACAGTGCATAGAACAAATTTAGGCGCCAACTTGGAAGCAAAATAGTCACCTATGTTAGAGAGAACGAAGTTTCTCTTCCAGACGCGATCACCAATGTGATATACCTCGCTGGCTCTTTTCCTCAAATTATAAGTACGCGAATTCCTCTCATATGCTTCAGAAAGCTTCCGTCGCACATCGCCCACGTTGGGCGCCAATTTTATGTGACGTAATTTCACATAAGAGAAATTAAGGTCTCACAACCCAGCAGTCAAAATGTGGTAGAGCACTGGTGTGGGTTCACAAAAAGTTGGGAAAGAAATTATTTCATGCAATTTCACAAATGGGTAAATTTTGGGCGCCACCCAGTATATGCTGGGAAGGATAGGGTGAGGACAAAACAAAAATATTCATACACAGGATTTCCCAAAACCTCTTTATAATTATTGATAGTGATCACTTTTCATCTAACATGCAAAATTGACCTATTTTCCTATTGTAATATATATTATTGAAGATTAAACAACACACTTATGGTGAGATTACCTGTTAGTAAATCTATAATATCAGCAGCAGTTTTGAATTTACGAATTCACAATATCAAACTGCATTTAGTCAGTATCACTAATAGTAGAGATTACTTAATTAGATCCTAAACTCTTAATTTAAAGGCCTCACTGTGGCTTTAAATGGGAGATATTGAAATTTGAAGCTTTTACACACTGTTTTGAATGACTTTCGAAAGTAATGATAATTAAGGATCCTGGGAATGATTTATCAGCGCTGATAGATCCCTCCTTACAAAAGGAAGAATATTGTAATACAAAAAATAATGAAAAATGTTAAACTCTACCTCTTCATCTATACTAGAATGAGGATAGTGTTTTCATAGTAAATATGTAATCTGAAGTAGTGATAATATAACGTTGAGGTTCATCTTCTCATCACGTCGGCGATCAAGAAAAATTGTGTAAAATCTACTTACAGTAGCTCATCCATATCACACAAGATTTTGTAAACAGGTTTTGGGTAGTGGTTTTCACATGTTCACAGAACATTGCAACAGCAAGAACAACCCCTCAAGGCCGTTGAGTGTGGTGTGAAGTAGTCCGACAATATTCACGTAGTACTAGCGAAATTAAGTACCTACCGAAGACAGACAACCAATCTGACAGAAAAATAGAAAGAAGCATATAGTAACCTCAAAAGGAAAATATTTTGAAATTTTGACACAAGATATTATTTGTTTATTTATCCCTGAGGAATACTAGGACTAATATAAACATGAAAGCACATCATCGAACGAAACCTTACCGCAGGAATAATAATAGCGAGCAAACAGGCGGAGTGAACGTTCAAGACTGGTTTATTATTTATTGAATATTTGCTGTGTCGTGTTACAGAGTGATTTCCGAAATGATTCTCGGCGATTGTGATGTCGAATACACTGCATCTCGACAAATTACGTGTAAATAAAGTTGTGGTGAGTTGGTACGTATAAGGGTCACAAAGTGAACCGTTACATGATCTCTAGTGGTCTAGAATATGAAGGTTTCATCAGGAAATGAGGTGCTTTATGGCCACTTCCAAGTCTCAGCCGATAAATTGAGTAAATCAACTCACCTGATGTTATCGAACAGCACTTTTCCAAAATTCCTGAACAACGTTCATGTGCTGGTATATCCCCAGTATGGGTAAGAGTTAGCCTAACCAAAACCAGCTACAAATGCATCAATAGGCCCACAACTCTGGATTTGGGCATTCATGAAAATTATCCCAAAAACGGTTAGTAAATACTCATTACTAAAATATTTCATTGAAATGCCTGACACACGATCACTGTCTGAATATTCAGGAAAGATGGCGAACTTCACGAAGATGATCATTTTTTTATTCCTTTTTTTCTCCATCCTGGAAGTTGTAGATTGTCGAAGAAACCTTTTTCCTCGTGATTATATTTCCAAAACCTACTAGGAAAAAATATTTCTTCAGACAATTTGACAGAGAACCCACAAAACGCAAGAATACTCAGATAAGCACGAAACACTAAGAACGGTCCACGAATCGCCGCTAGGTAGCGAAATAATGCGCCTTCGGAACAAGGGTGAAAATACCCGGTAGTCTATAACCCAACCCTTCACAAACGAATGAAGCTTAAATGTTGAAGTTGAATTTTTATCTCGGGAACAAAACCCAGGAACATTGAGGATGCATTCCTAAAGTGAAACTACCATTCCGCGATTACTCAGCGTTCTGAAAGGTAGGTGTTGGTGACGTCCCTGCAGGGTGATTCCTGTCTCCGCGATCAGGACACACGAACGCCCCCTATGAAAACCCAGCCAGGACGGCGCTGTGGAAGATCCATCGCTTACTCGCCCCTGAGTCAACACAGCAGCCGCTCCGCGACCCACTCGCAGAAACAGCAACCGGCCTACAGAGGGCCACAGGTGAAACAAAACATAGCGAAATATCAGATTTACAAACAAAAAACCAATTGCCACCTCAATTGGGGTAAAGATAGCCCTACCAGCTGAAACGACATTGACATACCAATGCCGGGAAAGAAGTCTAAGGTGCGAGTGTTTCCGTCGGTAGCACTGTGGACCGTCCCCTCAACTGAACGGATTACATAGCGTCTATAAAGCACAGTAGTAGCCAACCGGCACTGTGAACAGACACCCGTAGGTTTGTCTGCCGGGCCGCCCTGCTACCTCCCAATACTTGCCTTCGTCCATGGTCCCATCATTGAAGACAGTTCAGCTGAACGCAGCCCACACCCAATACCGACGAGTCCCTATAATCAAAATAAGAAAGAAGAAGAATATTGGAGAACTTGGAGGATAACGCCTGGAATGATGCTCGTCCTGCACCCACACCAACAGGAAAAACAAAACAAAAATCCGTCTCGACTGTCAGTCTTGTCCAACTCGGTCTCCAAGGACAAAGTCCTGAAGAAGTCCCAGTAAGTCACTCGTCTCCCGACCCGCAGGAAACGACATGCACTCCAAGCCTAGCACCAGCCGAAGAACAACTCCACCAGGTCATGTGGTCACCTACAGCTCCAACGAATGCTCTCCAAAGCTTACCACCGACTACCACAGTACAACAAGACAGGCCTCTCCAACGCGAGAGAATTTCGAATTTGGGTCTGCTGCAAAAACCATCGTACACACTTGAACCGAAACCCAAAACTAACGATACTGGTACATAATTTGTGTACAGGGTGGCCAACTAAGACTCCAGAGTTCGATTTCTCTGTTGTCTTGAGAGATACAGTAAAAATTCATGTATTAAAATTGAAGTAATAACCGAGTTTCACATTTCAAAACTTCTTTGAAATACACAGTGTGGCAAAGTTATGCAATTTTGAAATTGAAGTTTCCAAATTATTGTTTTAGTTATGATTTACTAAATTGTATTCTGGCAAAGATGCTCACAAGGCACGGCAGCTCTTCGTCTGGCGAGCAGTGGTTGTGAATTCTATAACTTACTTTGTTGAGAGCAGGGGGCGCCACTCAGTTTAATCAAGTAAAAACTAAGAAAATGCACTATATGACAAATTACTACCTGAAAGAGAAATTTAAGTGAAACACTGTGTGAACTCAACAGATTTAATGTAGGAAAATCTCAAGTACCTTGATGGCCTGTAATATTTGCTTATTTAGCAAAATTCATTATGTTTCATGGAAAACAATCATTTTCAAACTCCCTAATGTCTTTCAACCTAGGTTCCCGATATAGTACTATAATGGGCGAACAGGGTAGCTAAATAATGTGATATATGAGTATTCTGCTATATACCTGAGATCTCAAATAACTAGACTAAACTTAGTACCAAAAAAATATGTTGAGACAATAAGTGACATACTTTCAATTCAGGGCTCAACAATGATATTATACCTTATAAAAAAACAAAATGTTTAGCACAATGGGTTCCAATCTATCTTACTCAAACCAGACGTCTCTGGTGGCTCCTGGATGTTGCCCTACATGAAGGCCCTCTTACTAGTGGGACAGCAGTCTGACATAAGCGGCAGACCGGTCGAAACAGCGCCGGTTGAAGCGCCCCAAAATCAGCACACGTGTACTCATTCCAAGGGTGAAACAGGGGTGTTGCGAATTGACAGTAGGGCCCCAGCTAGTAGATGATCTACTCAAAACCGGGCCTGGGGTGCTAAGTCGGCTCCTGGCGATGCTCGAGCTCCGAGGATTCTCTACGACCCTGCGACACAGCAGAGACGGAACAACCCCAGTAGTAGCGGCTCGTCCTGAGGGGTCAGTCCAATCATACCCAGTGCTGGATATTGAGAGTGACCGCTTCTCAAGTCCCGAAATCTCCAGACTCAAAGCCAAGATGGTGGCCTCGTGGCACGTTTTCCAGCGGTTCCAGTAAGAGGCCCACAGATCTATAAAAATAGATCCTGTAGCACTCAGAAATACTACAATCTTAAACCCCAAATCTTCCCATAAGAATCTAATAGCGAACTTACCCCAAAAATAAGGAAAGGCCTCACTTCCCACACAAAAATCAAAATGCTGAGACTTCATCTTTCTGCTCGTTCATCAGCCACAGGAAAATGAAGAAGGGCAAATTGGAGGGATATCCCCTGCGCCTTCTCTAGAAGATATCCACAAAAATCTATTTAAAAAAACAAACTTTTCTCCTGCGCATCCAGAACTGACAACTGAGTGTTAGGCGTCCGTCACGAGACTCAAATACTGTTCCCTGATTGGTCCAAATCAGAGAAAGAACGGCGCAATTTCCGAATCATCTCCGAGTACACGCGACTCCCTACGAACTGTCAATAAACCACAAACACAGGACAATCAGAATAATGTGAAACTCACGGGACCACGGCCAGCTAAGGTAAACGGGTACCGCGTGCTATGGGCTGCTACAAGTCGTTCCGTGTCTTCTCACTCGTACCATGCGAATGACCGAAGAATTTGGGAAGAAGAGTAAATGCTTAATGCCTGTCAAGCGGCTAAAGAGAAAAATAAGAGCAGAGTCAAAAATAACCTCCCATTTTCATCCATCTACCTGTCAAAGATGATATGAATAAAAATACAAAACCATCACAAAGACAATGATGAACGATAAGGCCAAGACCAGAATTCCACAACATCATTAGCCTTCCTCACCAGCTACCATGAACTAACCATCAACATCAACATTCTGAATGAAAAATACTTAGTGTACTGGAGCAAGTTACTTATGAGAGACAGGTGAGTTCTCTCTGAATTATCATCAGTTCAAATACTAATGTTTAGTTATTTTCAGATCCTGAGCCAAAAGTTTTGATACCCTCAACCCAAGGTACTATCAAAGATATAGTGTTATGTTAAGTTCTGAGTTTGAATAAAAGAATCCATATACAGAGTGAGTGTCTCAATTATCCAAGATAGTTATTGAGTATAGAATTGGAACTGAAAATTCGAGAAAAGGTAATTTTCACGTTACACACACCCCCCTACTAAATAAAAGAAAAATTTTTTGCCAACAAAATTTTTCGTACCAATAATGAAAAGGTAAAGAGCGACTTAATACGATCCAGAGAGTTCGTTTTTCAATAATTTTCATCCTAAACTAGGCGCGCCTTATTCTACCTTACTCCTAATCTTAACTGTTCCTAAACTCTTACAGGACTACTATTTACAATTTGAATCACTGCAGATCTGCTTTAAGCTATTATTTGAAATTTGACAAGTTACTCATTGGATGCTTCGGATCCCGAATCTTCTACAACAGAAAGATCGGACATAGACCCATTATAGGGCTTCAAGTCTTGTATGTGCCAAACTCCAGCATCTGTACCATTCTCGTTTTTTAAAACGTAGACCAATTTTGACTTTTTCTTAGCCACTGTACAAAGTATATAACGCGGAGCTAATTTCTGAGCAAAATTATTGCCAGCATTGGACAGAACATAATTCTTTTTCCAAACTTTGTCTCCAACAAAAAATTCTTTATCACGTCGACGTAAATTATAATACTTAGCGTTTTTCTGATGTGCAGCATGAATTTTATTCTGAACATCTTCATAAATCTCTGACATTTTCCCTAAATTTTGAATCCAATAATCACGGTTAACCAAATCGATATCTACGTTACCCCTCCCATAATATTGACCACTACCAGGTACTTCTCTACCAAAATTCAAAAATGCTGGGCTATACCCCGTAACTTCATGAACACTAGTTCTCATGGCATAACCTATTTTTGCTAACTCTTTATCCCATAATTTATGATTGTTGTTAATATAACTTCGAACTGCAGTGCAAATCGTTCTATTGGTTCTCTCAACATAATTTGCCTGAGGATGATAGTAAGCTGTATACATGATATTTGAGTCATAACTTTTGACAAGATCTTTGATTGATTTACTAATCAGCTGCCTACCATTATCGCAAATGATATGTTGTGGAACACCATAGACGAGAAAAATATCATTTTCTAAGAATTTAATAATATTAGCTGAAGTAGCTTTACGAAGAGGGCAAAAAACCGGATACTTGGTTAGCCAATCACTAACGACGAGAATATATTGATAACCACTTGAAGTACGTGGTAGAGGGCCCATAAGGTCAAGTGCAATAACTTGCCAAGGAAACCGAACCTTTTTCTCTGCGCCCATCAAGCCAAACTTAGAGTAATTTGGAGATTTTTGAGCAGAACAAACTTTACAAGATTTTATGTACTTAAAAATATCGTGCCTCATCTTAGGCCAGTAGTAAGTTAGAGCGACTCTCGAATTTGTTTTATAGTAACCCATATGTGAAGCGGTTAGAACATCATGACATGACTTAATAATTTGAATTCTCTGACATTTTGGTACTAGCAGTTTCCAGTCTGATACATTGGTGTTCACTGGGCATTTAGACGGTACTAATTTTTAAACATAATTATTCTTCACTTCCAGGGTTCCTCAAAATTTTAGTCCTCAAATTTTCATAAAAAGAATCTAGCTTATCTAAACTGATCTCTAAATTAATACTGTCGATTTCCCCTTCTACTGCACAACAATGGTCAATATCATCTACAGCTGGTTCTACTGGACTTCGAGACAGGGCATCAGGGACAACGTTTAACCGTCCTGCTTTGTGCTCTATAGTGAAATCAAATTGACTTAGTCGGACACTCCACCTAGCTATTCGGACAATGGGTTCTTTTATCTTGAACATCCATTTGAGCGAAGCGTGATCAGTGATTAAAGTAAAATGCACTCCCTCAATATAACCCCGAAATTTTTCACAAGCAAATATACATGCTAAACATTCCTTTTCAGTTGTTGTATAATTACGTTCATTTTTTGACAAACTACGTGAAGCAAAAGCTATCACTCTCTCTTGATCATCTTGTATTTGAGTTAAAACGCAACCTAACCCTGTATCAGATGCATCGCACTGTATTGTAAATGGGACAGAAAAATCTGGGCTTGACAAAATTGGTGCAGAAACTAATGCTTGCTTTATATCTTTAAATGCCTGATCAGCTTTATCGGACCAAGTGACCTTTTGACCTTTTTTCTTGTTTTTAAGCAGATCGTTAATGGGTGCCATGAGAGAAGAAAAATGCGGAATGAAACGTCTGTACCAACTGCACATCCCAGTGAAACGTTTTATTTCAGTGGTATTCCGAGGCTGTGGAAACTCAACCATTGCCTTCACCTTGTTAGGGTCAGTTCTCAGACCAAATTTATCGATAATGAACCCCAGATATTTCAATGATTCTCTAAAAAATTCACACTTTTCAAAATTGACTGTCAACTTGGCATCCTTAAGACGCTTAGCTACTTCGTTTAGTAATTTTATATGTTCTTCGAAAGTTGAACTCACTATAATCAAGTCATCCAAGTAAACAAAAATATTCGGTTCTAAATCTGGTCCAAAAATTGCATCCATTAATCGTTGCTGAAATTGAGCGGCATTAGCCAAGCCAAAAGGCATAACCTCGAATTGAAATAAACCGCGTGAAGGGACTGAAAATGCCGTTTTTTCTTTAGAACTCTCATCAAGAGGAATTTGCCAAAAAGCACTTCTTAAATCAACCGAAGACATGTATCTAAAATGACCTAGCATAGATAAAATTCGATCTACTACTGGTAATGGGTAACTATCTTTCTTGGTTACCGAATTTAACTTTCTTCCATCGAAGCAAAATCTGAAATTTCCATCGGACTTTTTAACAAGGAGCACAGGAGACGACCAACTACTTTTTGATGGCTTAACCACTCCCAGAGACAGCATTTTGTCCAACTCTTTATTCAAGTGTCCCTGCATATAGGGAGACATAACATACTGACGTTGCTTAACCGCTGGGGCGTCTCCAGTATCAATATGGTAGACCATCTTGTCTGTTCTACCCAAAGCCTTATCTTTACCTAGGTCGCGAAATACCGAAATAATGCTTTCAGCAGCCATTGCTTCATTTTCTGATAAGCCACTCAATGAAAAAATATAAGATTCTGAACTTTCAGCTACCTCTAACGCCGATAAACAATTAACTTTTCTAATTGATTCTGAACTAACTTCCCAATTGTTTTCCTTAAAGTTGATTTTCAATTCAAATTTTTTGCAGAAGTCACTTCCCAAGATGAAGCTATAACTCAATGAAGGTACTATAAGAAACTGAATTAACTTACAAGTTTTACTTATACAGATAGGCAGATCAACTGAACCTACTACATTTTGTTTGACACCATCAGCAGTGCATACAAAATGGGTTGACTTATTATTGATTTTCAGACCAAATGACTCAATTAAACTTATTCCTTTACTACCAACTATGGAATTATTAGCACCAGAATCTAAAAGAGCAGTTATCTCTTGATTAAATAAGTTTACTGATATAAACGGTCTATTGTCTTGTTCTTTCTGTACAAAGACAGGAGCAGCTGAAACTTCAGAATTTATTTCACTTAAAAAGATTTTACAAAATTCAATTAAACTTGACTGTTCAACTGTCGGATATGTTTTTGAAATATTGGCCTGTTTGAATGGAGGTGAACGGCGGCCTAAAAAAGAAAAATATTCTACCTCCCTGATAAGTTTCCCGAGCATTTTTCACACTTGCTCTTTATTTTTCCTGGCTCACCATAACCATGACAAAAAACATTGCGTTTTGAAGTACAATTATAAAAAGTGTGGTT